CCACCAGTTCTGGGTTGATTTTGATAGTTTTATTTTTTTCCTCACAGTATCATTATTTTCCTGTTTCTTTGCGTGTCTGGTTTTTGATTGGATATTGGGTACAGTGAACTCTAGATGGTGCCCATATATCTAGTGCTGTGCCTTATTTTGTTCTCATTCGTTCTCTTAGAATATCTTGGATCATAGTTTTGGGATGCAGTGAAGTTGCCTGGAAACAGCCGATGCGCTTAAGGCTCGCTATTAAGCTTTATTAGATGGCCTCAGAGCAGACGTTAGTCTAGGGAAGGATTTGGCAAACTGACCCAAATCTGGCCTCCACCGACAGCCATTGTTTAGCTGCCATCTAGGCTGGCTTTGTGCTCCTGTCAGAATTGGGTCGTCGGGTCAGAAACCTTGTGGTCTGCACAGCTTTGACAGACAAGCTGCCCTGACTGACGGCAGCGTCCTCTCAGGCCCCTCCTGCAACCCCTCGCTGTGGCTCCGAGGTAGCTGGCTTGAGGTGCGTGAGCACCTGCTTCCTGTGACTCCTGCTGGGGGCCCAGCTGAGGCGTGAGGGGACCTCGCCGGGCTTGGAGCGTGCTCTGAGCAGACTGTCTTCTTGACTCGGGGAAGGGAACCTGTCACCTCCCAGGGCCTCCTTTCACCGTGACCTGAGGGAGCTGCCCCTGCTGGCCGGCCTCTGCACCTCAGGCTTTGCCCAGGTCCTGGTTGCTGAGATGGGAGGCTGGCACAGGCCCTGTCACTTTGTCATGGTGGAAGTGGAAGTCCGCCGTCACACCTTGTCGGCGGTGGGGGGGGCCTGCAGGTCACGTGGGGCCGTGTCCTTCCCCCACCCCGAGCTGCCCTGGGTAGATAGAAGACGGACTGGAGGGGTGGGCAGCTGGCGGGCAGCAGGTCCAGCTGCAGCCCCGCGTGCTGAGCACAGGCTCTCAGCTCTGGCCTGGCCCCTCTGTGCATTCATGTGCTTCACCCCTGGCAGCCCCGGAGGGTGGCCTAGGCATCATGGGTGTGGGCGTGTCAGACAAAAGCACTTCCTAGGATAACCCCACACATCGCCACCGTCAGGGTGCTCTAGAGGGCAGGTCCAGAGGATATTCCATCACTTATGCACCTGCCCATAGTCACTGGCCTTTCAGGCTGGTAGGGGACATCTGTTCCCCACCATTGCTGGGGAGCACTTTAGGAGAGCAACACACTGTCCCTCGCTGAATCACCTCCAGGACCTGCTTGGCCTAGAAGAGTGTGGGAGCCTCAGCCTTAGAGAGATGTGTCCTCCGGACACTGCGCCATCCCCCCCATCATCGTGGTGGGGCACGCTCAGGCCCACTGTGGCCGAGCCAGGGTAGCGGGTGAGGGGGTGGCAGGTGCCAGCCCAGGGCAGAGACTGCCCAGGCCACCTCAATATGTGCCTTCCGCTGGGCTGTCCCACAGCCCTGCTCTGCCCTCACCTGGGGCCCCTGCTCTGGACACAGGCGCCCACAGGAACTGCCTCTCCTGGCCCATGGGTACAGCACACAGCCATGTGAGCAGTGCAGGAGCCTGGGTGCTACATACATCTCCTCCTTCTCAGATGGGGAAACTGAGGCACAAGAGGGGGTCCCTCCCTGCACCTGCCAGTCCTCGTTCACACAGCTGCGGGGCCCTGGAAAGACGAGAGCAGCTCTCGTGTGTGGGCTGTGTCTAGGGTGGCCCCCTGAGATGGGGTCGTTCCTTGTGGCTCAGAGGATGGGCCCCCCGGCCCAGGCCTCCCCACTGCTGCCCGGGACAGAGAGCTGGCATGGAGCCTGCACAGGCGCGACCCCAAAACACACACCACAGTGCGCCCATATCCTACCCCAGGGGGGTCCACCTGTCCCCAGACTACTTGGGGAATTCTGAAAATGGAAGTAGATTGGGGAAGTGGGGAGAGAAGCCCTGAGAGGGTCAGAGTGGTGGGGGCTGCCAGACCAGGGTCCCCTGGGCCTGGGGGAGGAAGAGCCCCAGCCTCCAGTCTTCTGCTCTGGGGACGAGGCCCAGGGGGACAGTCATGGGCATCCAGCTGGTTCTGGGCTGCATCTGTGAGAGAGGCCCCTCAGTAAGGCATGTGGGCCCCTCACCCTGCCTCCTGTGAGGGCCTTGGGCTGAGGTCCGTGTCGTCCTGCCCACTCCTAGGGCTGCACCCCAGACAGAGTTCACAGCGTGTCACAAGCAGCCCCTCTAGAGCAGGGCCCGGGCTGCCTGCATGGTTCCTGCACGGCTGGGCAGGGGCCCAGGTTCCGGCTGCCCCCTCCTCTGCATGCCCAGGCCAGTCTGACCCTAGGCCCTTTCCAGCTGACCAGCAGGTTTGTGCGGAGCCTTGGGTGTGACCTGCACAGAGCACAGTGAGCGCCCGACATCCCGTCTGGCAGGCAGGAGGTGCTGGCTTCAGGGGGGCTGGCACTCGCGCCAGCTGTCCTGGTCCTGGTTCATAGCTGACTAGGATTTCCCTGAGACTTGCCAACTCGAGCAGATCAGGAGGGAGTGGACAGGATTTAGGAACTGGAACTGGCGGCACCACTACAGCCAGCTCCTGGGGGCTGTGAGATGGGGGGTGGGGGCGGGGTTGGGGGCTCAGATTCCTAGGAAAGCTGCATGCCCTGTGACCCCTCCTGAGCGCCTGAGCTCCAGCCCGTGGTTTCCAGCCCGACCTTCCCGTGAGCAGAAAGGCCGTCATGGGCCTGAGCGATAGCACAGCGGGTAAGGCATTTGCCTGCATGCGGCCAACCCGAGTTCAACCCCTGGCACCACGTATGGTCCCCAAGTTCCACCAGGAGTGATTCTGGAGTGCAGAGCCTCCCCTGAGCACTGGCAGGTGTGGCCCTAAAACCAGACAAAGCCGTGCTGGGACCTGCTGCCTCCAAGGAGTTCTGAGACTGGTGAGAGGGCAAGTCCCCGCCAGGGGGGTTAGCTGGCACCTGCACTGAACGTGGCCCCTGGGAGAGCCAGCCCTGAGGCCTGAGGCTGTGTGGGCTCCCCTGGGACAGGTAGGGGGGGCAGCCCCAGTGGATCTAACCCTGGGTCACCCCTGTCCGGAACCAGACCCAATAGAGCCCAATGTGGCACCAAGGAGGGAAGGGTAGTCTGAGCAGAAGCACTTTGGCTGTGCCCGTTCCCGGGGGCACGTGAGCTGTTGCTACAGGAGCTCTCACTGGAGGCCTCAGGCCTGGCTGGGGCTGGCACCCAGAGCAGAGAAAGTCGGCCGCGTGTCACCATCAGTGACGGCCGGAGCTGTTGAGAGCATTCCCTGCCCTGACTTATCTATCTGTCCCCTCAGCCAACCTTCACCGAGCACTTTCTGACCCTTTATTTTTTTTATTTTTGTCTTGGGCCCCCATCCAGCTTGCTCAGGGGTGTCCTGCACTCGGAAATTACTCCTGGTGGTGCTCGGGCCAACCTTATGGGATGCCGGGGATTGAACCTGGGTCAGCAGCGTGCGAGACGGGCGCCCTACCTGCTGCACTGTTGCTCCGGTCCTCCAGGGCCCCTCTTAAGACCCCTCGCTAACCCTGGCTAGAAAGTGTGTTCCGCGCTGGTGCCACCCCATAGCCCCTCTCCCCCACCCCCTGCTCCCCTGGTGCACAGCGCTGCTCCCTCCCTGCACCCACCCCCTTCACCTGGTCCGAAGTGCTCCCCACGCAGAGAGCCCCCGCCAGCCCCCTCTCTGCATCTGTGGGACCAGTGAGAGCCACATGGAGATCACGTCCAGGGCCGGGCAGGGAGGGGCCAGGTGGACCCGTAGGGGCGGCAAGGGCTGTGCAGACACGTCCCAGGCAGGCCCCAGCTGCTTCCCACCCTCAGGTCTGTGGGTCCCAGGGAGGGGCGCCTACCTGGCTGCCCTCATGCTCCCGCCTGCCTGTCCCCAGCTCGCTGTGTGGCCCAGCGGAGACCGGCCTGCCTGCGTCAGTCGCCCAGAAGGTTCTCAGACCCAGCAGGGGTGCGGTGGAGGGAGGAGCTGCTCAGAGGTGCTGACTCGGCTCACACACCCCCTTGACTGCCTGGGGTCGGGAGGAGGCCAGACTGAGGCCCGCAGACCATCTGGGCTCAGCCTCCCTGTCCTTCCCTGAGCCTCTCCCTGCTCCAGCCCTGGGTTCCTACCGCCAAGCAGGGGTGTGTCTGGGGGGGGGGGAGCGGGGGGGGGGGGGTTGGGCGGCTGGAGCAGATCTCTGCTCTGGGGCTACCCCAACAGGTCAGGAGGCTGGAGTCGGATGACAGGAAGGTCGCTGCTGGGCGGGCTCTGTCCAGCGCAGAAGAGGAGTGGCCACCAGTGAGCCTGCACGACCACACGAGCGCCAGACACAAAGAGACTGAGGCCCCTGGGACGCAGCACACGCAGCTGCCTTCCACACTGTCCCACACCTGGGGCAAACTGCTTCCGGGCCGGGGCTGGGCCCTGTGTATCTGCCGGAATGCAGGCTGCCCGAGGCGGGTGGGGGTGGCCTGCTCGCCTCCAAACCCCAAACCTCAGCACGCAGACCCTCATTTCCAGGTCGCCTAGGGTTGTCGCGGCCTTCTGCCTTCTTCGGTTGTGTCTTTGACTGTGCTGGGACCAGGGGTCGCGCCCGCCCCCCCCCCACACACACTGCTCGAAGGTGCGCTGGAAGGGCATGCTTGGTTGAAGCACCATGGGGTCCACCATGTCGCCCTGGAGTCACACTGGCACGTGGGCAGGCGTGGGGGACGGAGCTTGTGGTTGCGAGGTGGCTCTTCTGCCACTGAGCCACTTCCTGGGCCCAGCACCTGTCACCCAGCCAGCTCTGAGCCCTGCTTTCCGGGCTCTTCCTTCAGGAGGCAGCGGGCCTGGAGGACATCCTCCTGAGCCTCGCTGCCTTCGAGTCCCTAGAGATTCCGATGGCGAGTCCGTGTGCTAAAGCCAGAGTATTGAGGCCAAAGCCAGAGGCGCCCCCGACCCCACACAGCACAGGGTGGGAGGGAGGGAGGGTCCCACAACACTACACTGCCTGACCAGCTCTGCCTGCTCCCAGGTGATAGCTGTGGTCATGGACATGTTCACCGATGTGGACATCTTCAAGGACCTGGTGGACGCCGGCTTCAAGAGGAAGGTGGCCGTGTACATCATCGTGGACGAGAGCAATGTCAAGTACTTCCTGCACATGTGCGAGCGCGCCCGCATGCACCTGGGGCACCTCAAGGTGAGCCGGCTGGCCATCCGGTCATCCCCAGCACATCTCACCTGCCTCCCGGGGCAGCGCCCTGTCAGGTCACACAGAGTTCAGTAGTCCTGGAGCCACCTGCCGAGGGTCACCTGGTGGCTGCCTGAGTGCCCTGGGGGACAGGACGCTTGCCACCTTCAGCAGATACCGTAAACATTGATTATAGTCTGCTGGCCGCGGCCCAGGGCCCACGCCACAGTGCTCACTTGTCAGCCGCACACCTCGGGGACCAGGTGCTCAGCGCCTCCCCTGGCAGCTCTCTCCCACCTGGGAAGCACTGGCTCGCGGGAAGTCCTTCCTGGGGCCCATGCCAAGCTCTGTTCTCACGTAAGTCCACCCACTGAATCTGGGTCCAACAGAGGGCACTCCCTCAGGCTGAGGTCACACAAGGCTTCCCTGGCAGGGACGTGGCCCAGAGACAGAGCCCTGGGCGCGACTCCCAGTCCCCACACCATCTCCCGAGCACTGCTGGCCCGACCCCTGAGCACCACCAGGCATGACTGCCACACAGAAGCAAAGAACAAAGGCAAGGAAGCCTTCCTGGGCCACGGGCGGGAGCTTTGTCCTTGGGCGCGGTTCCCTCAGCTCAGGCATGGGTGTCTCCCTTGGGACAGAGCTTGCTCTGCCCATGTGCAGCGCCTTTCTCCATGGGCACGTGTGTCCTGTGATCACAGTGGCTCCCTTCACAGTGCTCTTAACCCTGCTCATACCCGAGGCTTGGCGGCCGTCCGAGGCCATTTCATGGGTGGGGGAAGTGGATCCTCCGGCCCCAGTCACTGTGTGTCAGTTACGGGTTGGTCCACCGCAGTGTCCACCCAGCGCCTGGCCCAGGACCAGGGTGCACTTGGTTCTATGAGGCTGGCCAAGCCCTAGGACAAGAGGCGTGGCCAACCTGCTTGATGAGGGGCTCGCCCCAGCCTGTAATTTGTTGACCTCTGTCAGGTGTGGGCCCCCCGCCCCCCACCCTGCTGGCCAGGTCCTTTCAAGTGGGCGCAAGCCCTGCAGGCGGTGAGTCTGTGGTCGCGGGGATATTTTAATGTGGTCTCACCGGCACGTTGACCCCAAGCCCTACGCTCACCCGCCGCGCTGCCTGCCGTGTAATTAGCACTGAGCGCCCACTCCAGTGGCCGCCAGCTTGGGCAGCTCTCACCGTGTGACCGCGGGCGCCCTGGCCAGTCAGGGCTCAGGGCAGCTGCCCCTGCCCAGTGGGGGAGCCTGTCATGTCCTTGCTTAGCCCGAACCATGCCCATTGCTGCTGCTGGTGCAGTTGGGGGCCTCAGGATTCCCTGCAGTCGCAACGCTCCCCGTGCCTGGGGTCCCCGAGGCCCCTTGACAGGGCCACCCCAGGACGGACGGGTCACAGAGCCAAGCTACATGGGGTCCTGCCCAGAGCATCCCGCCAAGTCGGGATAGGAGCCAGAGAACTCCGTGGACGGCTGGCCGTGCTGGTGGCCACCCTGCTGCCCCATGCACCCTTGCTGAGCTTGCAGGCCCCATGCCCACGAGGAGTCCTCACAGGGTCGTCTGAGGCCACACGGAGGAGACAGGGTTGTAAAAGTGCTCAGAGCTGCAGCGTGGCAAGGAGTTGACATTCCCGCCCTGGGCAGGGGAGAGTGGGGACCCGAACCACAGCTCCCTCTGGGGGTCCTGCTCTGCTTCCGGGTGGCCGGGCCCCTCCGGGGAAGGAACCTTGACCCTGGCCTCCTTCTCACCTCTGAGCCTGCCTCCACCCCCTGCAGCTCGGGCGAGCGGCCAGAGAGGCTTCTGTGGGCCCAGCCCTGGCCAAGTGTCACCTTGTCGAGGGCCTGCCCACACAGCCCCCCTCCCTGCCCGCGGGCGCGCCGGGCCCCGGCCTGTCTCGGGAGCCCGTCCTCTGCTGGGAAGCTCTGGGCCTGCGCAGCCTTGCAGAGACCTGCCCTCCCCTCCTGCAGCCCGGGAAGGGGGCCTGGGGTTCTCTCTGCGGCCGCGGGCTGTGCCAGGAGCCCGAGTGGAGCCCTGGCCTGCTGCCTGCTGTGCCCTGCGGCAGATACCAGCCTTCGGGCCTCAGTCTCCCTGTCTGGAAGGGCTGGGGGACCCTAGGGAAGACCACTTGGGGCAGAGCAGGCCCACGGCAGCCTGGCCCCTCCCGAAACCTGGGGCTCCTGCGCCCCACGCCACCTGTACGCCCTCACCCTGGAGGACCCCCCAGCACGTCATGGGAACAGGTACTGCTGGCTGTGGAGGGACACGCAGCTGTACCGCCCCGTGGGTTCCCAGCCGCCCGAGCACCCTGGCCTCAGCTGGGCCTGGCATCCCTTCGGGGTGGAAGTGGGCATCCCTTTGGCCAGTAGACTTTTGAAGAGGACATGGCCATCTCGCCACTGGGACCCCACGGCCAGGACCACGTGACCAGCTCCCTTTGGGTGCTAAAGGACACCTGCAGCCTACGGGAGCCCGACGGGGCCTCCAGGCTCCTCTGTTGGGACAGGCCAGGGCCACGAGACGCCTGCTAGCCCCGAGAGCTGGTGGCTTTATTCAGCCAAAACAGAAAAGCCAGTGGCCACTGGGGCGAAGGCTGGACCCACTTTGGTGAGCAGGAGGCCTGCCAGGAGTCCGTGGTCAGTGCTGGAAGGCTGTGCTTAGGTCCACTCTGGCCCCTGGCATGGCCCCTGCCACAAAGCCCCCTGCCCACCTGTCCCTGGGGTCTGCCTCAGGAGAAGGGGTGCCTGCTGTATCTGGAGACATTCTCGGTTTGCCTGTTCTACACACAGTAGCTCTCAGGGGCTACACCCCGCTCTGTACCCAGGAGTCAGTCCCAGTGGGGCTCAGGGGACCCGTGTGCTGGGGATCAGACCTGGGCCTCTTGTTGCCAGGAGCTGCCTCTCTGCTTTGGGACCTGTTTAATGGTTGTGTGGGGAGCCCTTCCCTGCAGCACCATGTGGTGGGCGGTGCGGGAGATTGTAAACGCACAGGCAGGCCTGGGGACCCAACCACGAGGTAGCAGAAGCCCTTCAGACAAAGTTCGGGAGCTGCCGAGTCGACCACCCCAAAGCTCGCTCACAGCGCCGGCAGAAGACCCCAACCCCACACCTTTGCTCGGCTTCCAGCACAAGTGATCAGCCTTCTGGGGAGCAGAGGCAGGCTGGGCTCCCAGAGACGGGCGCAGGACAGGCGCTAAGGTTCTTCCGGTCCCCTCTAGCACCCAGCCACCCTGGGCACACACTCTCAGAGCTGGCAACATGCTGCCACCAGATCTCCCTGGGGTCCTCCAGAGACATCACTGCCTCCTATCCTGAACAGGGTCCAGCACCGGGCCCGGCCCACGTGCTCTGCTGTGGGTGTCCTGGGTCTCGGAGACAATGCGGCTTTGTGGGATCCTACCTCTGCTCCCGAGTCCTGGCTCTGGAGACATTACCTCATCTGGGCCAGGCCCTAGGGCGGGGCCCACCAGGAACAAATCGGGAAGCTGCCACGAGCCCCAGCTCCAGGCCAGCCCCCCACACCCAGCAGGGATGCCAGTGCCTGGAGCACCCAGAGCCCCGCGGGGAGCCCCTCAGCCTCCCAGTGCAAAAAGCAGGGGACAAGTCATCCCGGGGAGACTGGCTCGTGGCTACAGCCATGGTGCTGGGCCAGGAGCCCCGAGCCTGCAGGAACCGCAGAGCTGCCTGCGGTTGGGCACCGGTGCCAGGCCAGCCTCATACCGCCCTCCGGATCTTTGTTCTGACTCCTGGTCCCCCAGCATGCTCCTGTTGGGTACAAAGTCACGAGCCTTAATTGTCCTGGGCCAGGGCCAGCTTCCTGCTGAGCTGGCTGTGGGCAGGCTGGTCGCCGGGGGAGCCAGGCAGCCGGCCTGGGCGCACAGGAGGCTTATTGGCCTTCTGGGCTGGGCCCCACCAGACATTGTCCACCATACAGCGGGGTGGGTGGGGACCTGCCCTCAACTGCTGTGGATTCTGGCCTGGGGCTGGCCCCGATCTTGCTCAGAAATCCCAGGAGTTAGCAGGACAGGGTGACCTGGGTCAGTGGGTAGCGCTGGCCTTTTCCTCGCTGCCCCTTTCTCTGCGCAAGCCACCTCCCTGTCCTGTCCTCCTGTGCCTGCGGCCTCTATCAGTCCCTGAACCCTGTCCCACGATGCCTGAGCTGCTCTGCTCTTCCCCCTCCCAACCTCTCTGCAGAGCCAGCAGGAGCCTGTGCCCTTCTGCGTCAGCCACTGGCCAGCCGCCCTGCAGCGCCCTCACCTGCCTTCCTCCCAGAGCACTCTGGCTCCTCCCAGCCAGGAGCACCTCAGCCCCTTCTACCCTGACCCACGCTTCCTGGCCTTCCCCGCACTCATCCCTGATGTGGCTTTCCCAGGAACCACCCGCACCTCTTCCCAGCTGGGGCTCTTCCTTCCCACTCCTGCCTTTGCATGGGGGCACTGTGCCAGGGAGTCAGCGCAGGTGTTAGTGGCCCCTCCCCCACAGTGAGCCACAGGACCACTGCTGACAGAACCCTTGCCAGGGCTGTCAGACATGGACCCCCCAAGTCAGGCTCTCAGGAGCCTAAGGTCCCGCGGGGTCCCTCAGCTCCTCCCTCCCAGGCTCTGTCCACCTACCACTACCTTTGACCCCTGCCTCCCCTGCAGGAGGGAGGGGAGCTGGCCCCCAGGGAGGGGAGTTCCTGCTGGACCTCTGCGCCCCTTCCTAGGGGTCTGCATCTGCCAGGCAGGCCCAGTGGGGGGTGGACAGACCAACGGTAGAGGGAGTTTGCTGTGGCTCTCAGACAGCTCCCAGAGACTGGCTGGGGCATGCCCAGGGGAGCCCAGGTCCCGCTGCATGGCTCCCACCCAGTGCACAGTGCCAGCCTTGGGGGCCTTTTCCAGACAGTCCCCAGCCCACTCCTCACCCGCACAGCCCTGCCCCTGCAGCAGCACCCTGCCTCTCCCTTCCCCTGCCGCCATCCCCGGCAGAAGCTGCCCCCGCCGTGTGGTCGCTGCTGTGCTCGTGTAACTCTGTATCCCTCCCATCACAGAATCTCAGGGTGCGGAGCATCGGGGGGACGGAGTTCTTCACTCGGTCAGCCACCAAGTTCAAGGGCGCCCTGGCCCAGAAGTTCATGTTTGTGGATGGAGACCGGGCCATCTGCGGCTCCTACAGGTGACTTCAGCCCTCTTGCTTAGCTGTCTCTAGTCCCAGCTCCTCTCTCCCCTACTTCTGCCCCTGACACCCTGGTTATTCCGGTTCTTTGGGTCCCAAACTGCTGAGGCGTGAGGAGCGGGCACGCCCCTGCCCGGGAGGCGGAAAAGCTTTGTCGCGGATACTGTTCCAGCCTGTGGGCTGATCCAGCGCACACAGGACGGACACTGAGGCGGGCGGGAGAGCCTCATGCGGGGCTTGGTGCCCTTAGCACCTAGGAGGGCCCCAGACCCAGGGAGCCCCAGGGGGAGACCCAGGGAGCACAGCGCTGTGCATTAATGCAGGGACTTCCCGGGGTTCCCTGCACGGGCCTCACCCTGTAGCTGCATCCTGTCCTCCCCCGGCCCTGGGGCCACCATGAGGGGCACCAGCCCCGGGTGCTGACCGGCTGCCCTGCCTGTGTTCCAGCTTCACGTGGTCAGCCGCGAGGACGGACCGGAACGTCATCTCTGTGCTGTCGGGCCAGGTGGTGGAGATGTTTGACCGGCAGTTCCAGGAGCTCTACCTCATGTCGCACGGCGTCAGCCTCAAGGGTGTCCCCATGGACAAGGAACCTGAGCCTGAGCCCATCTTGCTGCCCACGGTGGTCCCTCTGGCGCCCTCAGGCACCGTGGCCAAGAAGCTGGTCAACCCCAAGTATGCCCTGGTCAAGGCCAAGAGCGCCGATGAGATCGCCAAGACGTCCTCCGAGAAGCAGGAGGCCAAGAGGCCCCCTGGGCTGCGGGGCGCAGTGCTGGCCGAGCGGCCCGGGGACTTCATGGAGCCACCGCCGCTCGTGCACCCGGGGCTGCTAAACCTGGAGCGCGCCAACATGTTCGAGTACCTGCCCACGTGGGTGGAGCCTGACCCCGAGCCCGGCAGCGACATCCTGGGCTACATCAACATCATCGACCCCAACATCTGGAACCCCCAGCCCAGCCAGATGAACCGCATCAAGATCCGGGACACGTCCCAGACAGGCGCCCAGCTGTGGAAGCAGAGCCGGGACAGCGGCCCCAGCCCCACGCCCAGTGCCCCCCAGAACGAGGGCCTGGCCGAGAACGGCCTCCCCCAGGGCGACCCCGAGCCACAGGCCCCCGTACCCAAGCCCCGGACAGTCCCCGTGGCGGACCTGCTGGCCCAGGACGGCAGCGATGCCGGGTGGGCCCCGGAACATCGGGAAGATGAGATGCCCCAGAATGGGACTGACCATGGGCCGCCCCGGTCAGCGGGCCCCAGCCATGCCCCGCTCCAGCGGCAGCTGTCTGTGACCCAGGATGACCCCAGCAGTGTGGGGGAAGTGCTCCATAACGGGCTAGACCGGGAGGAGGACGACGAAGAGGAGGACGACGATTATGTGACCCTCAGTGACCAGGACAGCCTCTCGGGCAGCTCCGGCCTCAGCCCCGGCCCCCGGCGGCCCTCGCTGGCCTCCTCGTCTGTGTCTGACGAATACTTCGAGGTGAGGGATAGCGCAACCCCTGCCCGGAGGCGCCACTCCGAGCAGGCTAACGGGCCCGCCCCCCTGGCCCGCCGGCAGCTCAGTGCCCCCCACGTGACCCGAGGAACGTTTGGGGGGCCCCTGGGTGGCTCCCCGTGGGCCCAGGGCCAGGAGCGTGACGAGACAAGCACTTCAAGAAGGATGCGGGCCCCCCGCGCTGCGGACAAGGAATCACAGGTGCGTGGGGGTCCTGGGAGCCCCTCCCCGAGGCCTCCCGAGCCCCCAGAGCTGCCGGCTGCCTGTCAGCTGCCAGCTGCTGTCCCTGGCTCAGCTTTCCTTGTCACAGAGAGGGAAACTGAGGGACAGTTCTGAGGGCAGGGCAGAGTAGTGACCACCCAGGGTCATGTGTTCGCCCCCTGGAGCTGAAAGGGAAAGGCTCTTGGTCCACCCCACGACGGTCACGGGCAAGCTGCCCACACGATGCCTCTGCACTCCCAGATCACATACAGGAGGTGACCTCTGTCCCAACCTCCTGCCAGGCCACCTTCAGATCAGCTCCTTTGCGGCCCCAGACTGGGAACTGCCCCTGTTGTCTGTCAGGGCCTCCCTTGCAAGCCCCGCCAAGCGCCCAGCGCCCCTACCTGGGAAGAGCACGCGGCTGATCATGCCCGGCATGATGATCAGGCCCATGGGCAGCAACTTGAGGTAGCTGGCCAGGATGGAGCCCGCCTTGGCGTGGTTCAGGTCCCGGGCGGATAGGGACCGCTGCACGATGACCTGGGCATGAGCAGGAGGTGAGTGCTGGCCCTGCAGGGCACCCGGAGCAGGGCTTCTCCCTGGGTGGAGGTGAAGCTGCCCCTAGAACCCAAAACCCCCAAGCTTCATGCCTCCAGGCAGGTTCCCCCCACCCTTTCACTGTGAGGCACCACCGCCCCAGGGTGTGGGGTCGGCCCAGCCCAGCACCCAGCACTGGTCGGGGCTGGTGGTGCCCCTGAGCACTGTCTGTGGCAGGCACGTGTCGGGGTGGGGAGCTGGTATCTCTCGCAGGACAGCACGGCTGGCCAGGCCGACCCTCTGCGCTACAGGGCAGGAGACGGCAGGGGGTTGGCATGAGTCTGCTTTTCAATTACTGTTTGTTTAGCTTGGCAGCCACACCTGACAGTGCTCAGGGACCACCTCCTGCCGCTGTGTTCAGGGGTCACTCCCAGCAGTGCTCAGAGGATTGAACCCAGGCCTCCTACATGCAGAGCATGTGCTTCAGCCCACTGATCTATCTCACTAGCCCCATGAGTCTGATGTTTAAAAGAAACTATTAACTTTCAAGGAAATTTGCTTTTTTAAAAAATGTAATTCAGGGGCTTAGAGGTGGGTCAGCAAAATAGCACATGCCTCACACGGGTGAGGTGCAGTGTTCAGTCCTGGCTCCAAAACAAAAATACACTCATTTACCATTCCTCTCTCTCCCTGGTACCCACCCACCCACCCCCCCAAAAAGAAAATGGCAGTACATCCACTTAAAGTCTGGAATTCAGTAAGTTTGTATGTTCAGAGTGATGTGTTTGGAATGTCCATGTATCTTTTCCCTCTCAATTGATCCACACAACCCACAGTTCAGAAGTAGAACTTAAATGATTAAATCCGTTTCCAAAGAGCCTAGTCTAATGTGTAGCTCCTGGCGTTTCCCCTGTGTGTGAGGGGGGGTGGGCGGGGGCAGCTCTCTTCTGGGGCATGGAGCTTTGGGGGTGCAGGACAAGCTGGTTTCAGTCCTGTTCTGCTGCCAGCCCCAAACCTTGGGGCAAACCCTGGCTCTCCTGTCTGGGTACGAGCAGACAAGGACCCCACAGGGCCTTCCCTTCTGACGCCCCGTGAGCTCAGAGCTGGACCATGAGCCTGGGAGGAGAGAGGCGCCCAGGGGCAGGAGAGCTGAGGGCCAGGGCCCCAGCAAGGCCAGCGTCCGGCCGCCGTGCTGGCACCTCCCCTGTGGTGTGGGCTGCTGCCTCGACCACGGCCGGCCCACCACTCCACCCCAGGACCACTGTGCTCTGGTCTGCGAATCTGCAGCATCCACCCCCACATGGGTGCTGTGGGCGCGGGGCCTCCCCTCTTGCCCCACGGGTGCTGTGGACTCGGTGCCTCCCTTCCCCCACAGGTGCTGTGGACTCGGGGCCTCTGCACAGCCACTCCTGACCTTCCTGGGCTTCCTTGGGGTGCGGCCACAGTGGGGCTGTGGGCAGCTGTCTATGCCTTGCCTTTGTGGGGTGAAGCAAGTCGTGGGCGCTGAGCCAGCACTGCAGAGGCGCCGAATGAGGCGCGCTCCGATGGAAACAGCCCCTGTGGCAGAGGGCACCCCAGGGGGCAGGCCTTGGGTCTCCCTGTGAGCTGCCCGTGGTGCCAGGGCCAGAGCCCAGGCAGCCTGGCTAGGTCTGCCCTTCCTCCACGGGATGGGTCCTGGCCACAAGTGTCTCCACTGAGGGACACAAAAAGCCTAGTGGCCTGTGGGGGACACAGCCGGCGCCAGCCTGGGGATGCCCCTTGGAGGCCGCCCGGTGAGCCCCAGTGGCTGCTGAGGGGTATGGCACACCCCGAGGGCTGGAGCGCCATGGCAGGCGGGTCCCAGTGGCAGCTGACTCACACGGGAGCTTTCATGGGAAACTCTCTTGAATGGTGACCCACCCGGATGCCATATGCCAGGCCCTGACTCTGGAGGGCGGGGAGGAGGGGCACCTGCAGGCAGCAGGGGCCGCTCTCAGCCCCTCTGGGCAGTCCAGCTGGCCCCCGCAAGCCCCCTCTGTGTGCCCCGCTTTGGGCCGCTGGGTCCCTGCAGGTGAAAGGGGCGACTGGCGCCTTCCGAGGTGTGGACTGTTCCCAGCCCCACCCTAGGACCGCCAGGAACTGCCCACCGAGGGGCCATGGCTGTCTGGGGCCCCTGAACAGGGACGGTGAGAGTGGGCTCGCCAGCCCACACGCAGCCCAACTCTGGCCCCATTTGCAGATGCTCAAAGCTGGGGTCGTGGCAGTGAGGCAGGGTGGCCCCGGGACACATGGGGGAACTGAGGCTCAGTGCAGTGAAACAGGCTCCTGGAGTGGAGGGGAGAATGGGCAGGACGTGGGTAGGAGGGAGGGAACAGCCCCCAAGCTCACTGACTCTCTCCCTTCCCTGCAGGGCCAGCAGCTTCACCAATACGGAGTGTCCGCCGCAGGGATGCGGGACAAAGAGGGCTTCCCACGACCGCTGAGGACCCCAGGACCCCCCCGCTTCCGCCCCGCTGCTGACCGTGCCCAGAGTTCTGCCAGGAGAGTGGGCCCGGCCACGGCTAGCCCCGCCCACTGGCCGGCCAAGGGGGGGCCCGCATCCCGCCCGCTGCAGGATCCCGGGAGCCCACGGCCAGCCCGTGGCACCCACACGCTGGCCGACAGCCGGGCCCCCGAGGGGCACCTGGGCCCTTTCGGAATCCCGTTCTCCAAACTGTCCCAGTCGAAGCACCTGAAGGCGCGGACGGGCGGCCAGTGGGCCTCGTCTGACTCCAGGCGGAGGGCCCCGGCCCCCAGGGACCGCAAGGACCCCTAGCTCAGCCCCGCCCGGGCCTCCTCTGCACCCTGCACCCTGAGCAGCTGTCCTTGGAGGGAATGCCCAGACCCTCCCCCCCACACCTGTCCTGGGAGGCAGGTGGGGGCTGGTTGGCAGCGTGGGCACGTACCTGGTCAGTGCACCAATACCAGGTGGCCAAGATGGTCAGACCAAAGGTCATCCCCGTCCACGGGAGGTCCCCTGTGTGGGGGTCTCGGAACATGTGCATGGCGTCTGCACGTGGCAGGTGGCAGGTCGTGTTGGCGATGGTCCTGGAGGGCACAGCCCGGGCATAGGCTTCCGCCAGCTGCTCATAGCCCCCGATCCGGTCGAAAGCTGGGGGGGTGGACGGGGCAGGTTAGCAGCTGGTGGCCCTGACCTCACCCCACTGCCCTCATCTCACAGGGGACTTCCTGAGGCAAACCTTGAGCTTTGCCCCTTCACCTTTTCCTGTGTTGGAAAGGCCTGGAGGTAGAGGGTTCTTTAAGAACAGATGAATGCAGCTATTTTATTTGTATTTAAGATTATGCTATTAAACGAGCGTTTTGCACATGGGCACCCTGTGTCCTGTTGGGCCCGGGGAAGGCTCCTGCCTGGCTGCAAAGTATTTGTTTCCTAGGCACTAGAGCCTTCCTGAAGTGCTGATGGGGCTCCTGAGGGATGCTGTCTGGCAGAGCAGAGAATGGTGGCACTGAGGCGGGACCTGGAGGCTGGGAAGGGTGCGTCAGAGGTCACACCCAGGGTTCCACCTCCGTGGGCCACTCTGCCCTCCCTGCCTGCTGTCTTTGTCCAGCTCCTGCTGTGGCCTCCTGGGGGTGGGGCCTGCTGCCTGCCTGCTGCTGGGGGTCCCGCAGGTGTGGTGGGCGAGCAGGCGAGCCCAGTACACAGGTGCATGCCCTGGGGCCCTGCCCCCGCCAGCCATTCCCGCATCCCGAGTCCTTTCACCCACACCCCGGACCTGCAGGCGGCGGGGATGGGGGACGGCAGCTTCCAGCAGGACCTGGCATGACCAGATGGGCACACTCCCCCTCAGCCCCCCACCAGCCCCCCTCACCTTTGACAGCCAGGATGACCGCCCCCACCACCATGATGAGTGTCTGCAGGGCGTCCGTGTAGATGACCGCAGCCAGGCCCCCTGTGGGGAAGCGGGAGCTGCAGCAGGCAGGGCCAGGCCAGCTCTCCCGTCCCACACCCTGAGTGGTGAGAGGGAGCCGCAGACCCCAAACCATCGGACACTGTGGCCACTTGCCGGCCACAGCTGCCACTTGGCCACGGGCCCTCCCGTCAGACGATACCTGCGATGGTGTAGAGGGCCGTGATGACCAGCATGAGGGTGGTGGAGAGGTAGAAGTTCCAGCCTAGGCAGGTATGCACAAACAGGGCCCCCGCATACAGGTCGATCTGCATGGGAGAGGGGGTGTCCAGAGTCTGCACCACCTACCCATGACCCCTGTCCTGAGCCCCATCCACCCACCAGGGCCCATTGTGTGGGGGGCAGGGGCACTCTGGTGTGAGAGCCTCGCCAGGACCCATAGGAAAGAGCCTTGACACTGCCTGTCCTGCTAGGGATAGAATGAGACCCTGTCCCCAGGTAGGGAGCCCAGGAGGACTTCTTGGAGGAGGGGCTGTGGAAGACTCGTGGACCTCAGAAAGTCAGCCGGGGTGTCCCCTTCCTCTGGGTTCTCTTAGGCAGAGGGGCCTCAGAAGGACCAGCTGTGCCCACGCTGGGGAAGAAGAGTTCTCTTGCCTATGTCCCCCCCGGGAGAGCGGGAACTGGTCCCCAGGGCCAGGGCTGGACACAACTGCTATTCCAGAACCTGTCTGGAGGTGGTGACCCTGGGCCACAGCTCTTCCCACACCGTGGAGAGTTTCACACACGCACATATACACACATGCACACCTGCATGCACGCACACCTGCACATACATACACACGCACGTACACACAATCTGCGTGGTGGACTCCCAGAAAGTGATGGCACCAGCGGGTTTCCAAACGTGCTCTGTGCTCACTCAGCAAGGGAGCACCACACACAGAAGCAGTCTCAGCCCCAGAGCAGTTGGCCAGGGCCAAGGGAGCCCGTGAGTGCCCAGAGCCTCCCTCTTACCTCTGCACATGCCTGCTCTGGGCATCTCGGGGCCCCGCTGCCCCCAGACAGTCGTGGCTTCCCGTCCCACCAGGCTTCTCTGACTCCCAGAGAAGAGACAAGGCTGTGTCGAGACGGGGTCTGGCCAGGATCCCGTGTGTGTGTGTGTGTGTGTGTGTGTGTGTGTGTGTGTGTGTGTAGGGGACATGCATGCATGGCTGAGGGGTGTGTGTGAGGACATGAGGGTGTGTGCTCATGAGTGTGTGCAAGAATGTATGTGTGCACGTGAGTATATGATGCATGCATGTGTGATTATGAGTAAGCCTGTGTGCGTGCATGTGTGCATATGTGAGTGCATGTATGTATGTATGCATGTGTATATGTGTCACATGAGCTGGAGCCATAGCACAGCGGGTAGGGCATTTGCCTTGTACGCAGCCGACCCGGGTTTGATTCCTCTGCACCTCTCGGAAAGCCTGGCAAGCTACTCGTGATGTATTCGATATGCCAAAAACAGTAACAAGACTCACAATTTGTTGTGAGAAGTTACTGGTGCCCGCTTGAGCAAATCGATGAACAACAGGACAGTGCTTATAGGGACAGTATGTCATGTGTGTGCACGTGTGTGTACATCTGTGTGTACATCTATGTATGTGTATGAGTGTGCATGCGCGAGCATTGTGTGAGTATGTGTGTGTGCATGCATGTGCAGGCAGAGCCTTGCCTCCAGCCCTAGCACAGGCACCAGAGTCTGGAGCACCCGAGCAGAAGGGCACCCCCCAGACTCGCCCCTTAGACTAAGGGGAAACGCGCAGGAGTGATGGTCCCACCCAGGGCAGGCCTGGCTGTGCTCTAAGGTGAGTTGCCAGGTTGGGTGTCGGGAGGTAGCAGGATGTCACTGCTCAGGACCCCTAATGGGACACTCGCTGCCCTTGGGCTGATCCAAGACTCGATGCCGTTCCAGACACCTCACAGCCCTGAGGCCTCTGAACACTCCACTATGCAGTGTCCTGGGGTCTGCACCTCCTCAGCCAGTCTCCCTCTCGCCCCTCTGTTTCGCTCGAAAGGGAAGCCTCCCTCCCTCCCTTCCTTCCTCCTTCCCTTACTCCCTACTTTCCTCCCTCCTTCCCTCTTTTCCTTCCTCCTTTCTTCCCTCCCTCCCTCCCTCCTTCCCTCCCTCCTTCCCTCCCTCTTTTCCTCTCTCCTTTCTTCCCTCCCTCCCTCCATCCCTCCCTCCCTCCCTCCCTCCCTCCCTCCCTCCCGCACTCCCTCCCTCCTTCCTTCCCTCCCTCTTTTCCGTCCCTCTTTTCTTCCCTCCCTCCCTCCCACCCTCCCTCCTCCCTCCCACAGCGATGTGCTGCCCTTGCAGGTGAGCATGTGAGCAAGTGGCTGGCCTTAGGCTCCTGCCCGGCCCTGCTACAGGCTGAGACTCTAAGCAGCACCTTCCAGCAGCAGCTGGAACATGCGCATATCAGGCCCATATCCCTGGTGCAGACTGTCCCACACCCTAGTTTTAAGGCGGCCCCTTCGCATCTGTGAAATTAAATGGGAGCCATGGAGGGCAGCGGGCCCTGGGCTGGCAGGGAGAGGAGGGCAGCTACAGGCGAGGCAGCAGCCTCCAGGGGGCCAGCAGGACTGTCCGGAAGCCGGAAGCCGCAGCAGGCAGAGGGGTTGCGCCCCTGCACACCAGCATCCAGTGCACCCACCCCCGCCCAGCTGCAGTTCCTCAAGTGGGACTCCCGGCACAGACCCAGCAACCAGGCCTTTGCCAGGGAAGCCCTCTCTGGGGTGAGCCCAGGGTGGTGTGAGTGTCCCCCATGGTGGAGAGGCGCCAGGCACAGAGGAGTCTGCCCAGAGTCCCGGGCCATCTCAAGAGAGGGGAGGCACCAACTCTGCCTGCCTGGGCCCATCCCAGCCCTTCCTCATGGGACCCGCCTCTCCTCTCTGTGTGAAGCCACACACCACAGACACACCCACAAACCTACTGTCTGGGGATGGCTCCTGCCACCTGTCCCCAAACCCTGCCTGTCTCCATCCCTTTAGGTTTCTGGAAGCTTCTTCCCTTTGCTGCTGTCCGTGCCTGCCCTACTGGCCAGTGCTATGGAGTCTCTCTCCTGCCGCCCCGCCCCCCGCCCCTCTCCCCCCCTGCCCTACCTTGCCGGCCTCTCTCCAAGTCTAGCACTTTACCATTCATTGTGATTTTATTGGTCCATCATGGAGGACAAGGGATGTGTCGGTCACCTGGGGCCTGGCACCCAGGAGGCACTGAGAGTGATATGTGTGGGGGACACAAACAGCCCTGCCTGCCCTGCAGCACCCCGGCTCCCTGTGACAGATTGGACCCCAGCTGAAGCTCCCCGGCCGGCTCAGCCAGACTGGCCACACTGAGGCCACGCTCAGCCCGGGGTGCAGGGGTTGCCTCCACAGCAGAGAAAAGGTGGAGACGGATGATGGACTTGGCTGGACCACTGGCCCCTGTGAAATAGTTGGGCGAGAAATGGGGCAAGGGTGGGTCTCACCGACTGGCCAGGGGCAGGCCTCCGAGAAGGGGCTGAGGCGGGGGGACCAGGTCTGAGTCTTGGGGGAGGTGTGAGTCTGGGGGCCGTTGTGCCACAGTTGGCCTGACTGCAAGTGGATAGTCCCTGCGTCCTGCTGAAGGATGGGCAGTGGCCGGGCTCTGAGGCAGGTCCAGATTTCAGATATATTCTGGGGCTGCCCACCTGAGCCAGGGCCTCTGAGGACTCAAACAGCGTCAACCCAAAACAGCAGGAGGCACTGGTCCCCAGCCCAGCCCAGCAATTAGCTTTGCTCTCTGCTTCATCTGGGCAGCCCAGCAGGAGGTGATGGTGTTGCCTGTTTTACGGGTAGGTAAACTGAGTCACCCCATCACAGCAGCCCCAGGCTGGGGGTAGGT